CTGGAAGTTGATAAAACATTTTACAATTTGTAAAAATCTTTCCGGAATTTAATAAAATATTTCCGGAAATTGTAAAAACTTTTCCGGAATTCAATAAAAGATTTTACAAATTGTAAAAACTTTTCCGGAATTTAATAAAACATTTTACAAATTGTAAAAACTTTTCCGGAATTTAATAAAACATTTTACAAATTGTAAAAACTTTTCCGGAATTTAACAAAACATTTCCGGAAATTGTAAAAACCTTTCCGGAATTTGATAAAACATTTTACAAATTGTAAAAACCTTTCCGGAATTTGATAAAACATTTTACAAATTGTAAAAACTTTGCCGGAATTTAACATATTTCCGGAAATATTTAATTTCTCAATTCAATTCCGTCTGGTTTACAAATTCAAATCCCTATATTTTTGTAAATGTCTCTTTTAAATTGTAAATTACAATTTGTAATATCAACTTCCGGAAAATTATAATTTTACAAATATTAAATATAAATGGTTATTATTACCTAAACTTTGCTGTTCCAAAATTAATTTAAATGATTTAACTTTAATTATAAACTTTTGTATAAATTTTAAAATCATTTCATTTTTCATAAAAATAGGTTGAGTATCCTCAACCTCAAAATTATTTCTCAATTTTTCAAAAAAATTAAATTCAACAATTCCATTTTTTGTTACAAATTCAGAAAATGGAGTAAAATTTTCTTTGGGAATTTTAATATAATCCTCAGACATTTCTATCTTTCTTGCAATAATTAAAGAAAATGTGTGGAAATGAAGCTGTACACTAATCTTTCTAATTGTAACCATTCCTTTAGTGTTAACATCCTCTTTAAAATTTTCTTTTTGCCTAAATATTTTTTAATTAAAAATTTTTTTTATTTTAAAAATATTAAAATTAAAATCTAAAAATACCAACATTTTTTTCATAAATTTTTCCAAAAATTTTTCCCCTTCTTTAGGAACAAAAAATGATAATTCTTCCAAAGAATTAAAAATTTCATATAATTTATTTGCTAACAACCCCAATTTTCTTTCTCTTTCCTTAAAATTTTCCGGAAACAAATTGTTTAATTTTTCCCTTTCAAATTCTATCCATTCTTCTCTCACTTCCAACATCATTTTCTTCTTCTCCTCATTTACCGTGTCAGTCAAAATAATTATTTGCGAAGCTGCCAATTTTTCCCAAATTAATTTTTTGAACAAAACAATGTCTAATATTAATTTTATATTTTCTTTAATATTTTTATTTTCCTCTTTAAAATAATAAATATACAATTCTTCCAAACAATGTTCATCTGTCAATATTATAGACTCAGTATCCTCTTGATTTTGGTTGGAGAAATTACACATTTCTTTAAATTATTTTAAAATTAAAAAAATATTTTTTACCGGGTACACCCCAACGTACCGTGAGTCCAACATACCGCAGAGAAATAACTTGGTTTAAATTTGTAGAATCCTGGACGTTCTGTTATGATTTTATGCGCCTCAACGAGCTGAATCGAACTGTACCAGGGCATCCCGGATTCGACAATTCTGAACGAAGTTATAGCTCTGCGGTACGTTGGCCTGCTCACTTTTTACCTTTAATTTTATCCATATTTTCATCAGAAAACGAAATCTCACTAACTTCACCGTGAGAACTTTTCGGAGAAGAAATTTCAGATGAAGAAACTTTGGGGGAAGTAATATCTTCCCTAATATTTTTATTTAAATTTGTTTCTTCTTTTTTAGTCTTTTTATTTTCCACATCCCTAGTTTGTTTAAGTTCGGAAAATTTAGTGACTATTCTTGATTGATACTGTTTTCGGGAATCATTCTTTTTAGGATGTATTACTACTACATCTTTCTTCTTCGATTGAGTAGGTATTTGCTCTAAAAATTATTTTAAGTCTTAATTTTACAAATTGTAAAAAGAATTCCGGAAAAAGTTCGCCTGGTTCTCCTAATTTATTGAGATGGATTTAAAGACAATTAGGTATCTTGTTTAACAATTACCTTTAACAACGCCCAAATTTTCTTCCTCATTCTTTTCTTCAATGCCTTCCTCAACAATACTTTTACCTTTATTTTCTAATCCCTTCACTTCTTCTTTCTGTTTTTTATTTTCAATGCTTTCTTCCATTCTTAAATCTTCGTCCATCAAAACCGATTCTTCTTTGATTTCCTCAATTTCTCCATGTTTTTCTTCTATCCTAGTGCTACTCGAGCTTTCACCCAATTGTGTTGCTTTTTTCCTCTTTATTCCATCTACAAGGTCACTTATCTCTTCGGGAGTATGATTTGTTAATTCTTTTGTTATATATGCTATTAACTTTGCTAAAATTAAATTTTATTTATCAATCAAAATTATCTTATGGGTTTTTTACAGAAATTTATAATCTGGATTTATAATCTTTTTACAGAAATTTATAACCCTTCGGAAATTCGATAAATTTTTAGTTAAATTATTCCGGAACTAATAATTACGCCTAGTTTACAAATTGTAAAAGCATTGAAACAGATGTATAAATAATTCCGCCTATTATTTTACAAATTGTAAAATTAATTTTTTACAATTTTTTACAAATTGTTAAATTGTAAAAGCAAATTGTAATTTTTTACAAATCAATTTTACAAATTGTAAAAATAATTCCGAAATTTAATTTAATTTTTACAAATTGTAAAACACTTTCCGGAATTTAATAAAACATTTTACAAATTGTAAAAACCTTTCCGGAATTTAATAAAACATTTTACAAATTGTAAAAACCTTTCCGGAATTTAATAAAACATTTTACAAATTGTAAAAACCTTTCCGGAATTTAATAAAACATTTTACAAATTGTAAAAACCTTTCCGGAATTTAATAAAACATTTTACAAATTGTAAAAACCTTTCCGGAATTTAATAAAACATTTTACAAATTGTAAAAACCTTTCCGGAATTTAATAAAACATTTTACAAATTGTAAAAACCTTTCCGGAATTTAATAAAACATTTTACAAATTGTAAAAACCTTTCCGGAATTTAATAAAACATTTTACAAATTGTAAAAACCTTTCCGGAATTTAATAAAACATTTTACAAATTGTAAAAACCTTTCCGGAATTTAATAAAACATTTTACAAATTGTAAAAACCTTTCCGGAATTTAATAAAACATTTTACAAATTGTAAAAACCTTTCCGGAATTTAATAAAACATTTTACAAATTGTAAAAACCTTTCCGGAATTTAATAAAACATTTTACAAATTGTAAAAACCTTTCCGGAATTTAATAAAACATTTTACAAATTGTAAAAACCTTTCCGGAATTTAATAAAACATTTTACAAATTGTAAAAACCTTTCCGGAATTTAATAAAACATTTTACAAATTGTAAAAATGAATAATTCCGCCTATTTTACAAATTGTAATAATTCTCATTTAAAACCCTTAAATTAAAAAAATTACATTTTTCCTTCAATAAACTAATAATTTCTTTATATTCTTTACTATCAGCATTTTTCTTTCTAAAATATTTTAGTACTTTTACAAAATTCCCAGTTATCATTTTTGCTTGCTCTATTAAATTTTCTTCTTTAAATTCCTCAAATTTATTCATTCTTTCTTGTAAACAAGCTGCCAAATTTTTTCGTGTCCCAAAGCGGAGTATTTTAATTGGAGGGTCAGATTTTTTTGATTTTTTAATTTCTTTTTGCTTTTCCCTTTCATTTTCTTTTTTCTTTTCCTCTTCAATTTCATAACATTTTTTTGCTTCTTGGAATATTAATTGTTTTGACAATTTAAGTTTGGCAAAATCTTTTGGGTTTAAATAAATTTTCTAAAAAAGAATAAATATTCCTTCAAGTTACCAACTCCTTTTGAAGTTAAGAGATCTAATCGACCCATGGAGAGATCTACCGAGAAAAACCGGAACACATTCAATTTCTATTAAATTTGATCGATGATTAAAGAAATATATACCCTTTTAGGTAGAATAATAAATTCACTTACGTTAAAATCTTTAAAAATTGGTTCATTGTCTTCTATCTTAGGTGAATTTTTGTTAATAAATTCATCAGTAATTCTAACTTCATTATAAATTCCAAGCCAATAAATGGCATCAAGTTCTTCCCAGAAATCTTTTAAACCCAAATCGGAATCTACAAAAAAATTTTTGCCAGAAAAAAAGTAAAGATCAACTCTAAATTGGGAATACACAGTTATACTGGAGGTATATAACAGAGTAAGGGAGAGGTAATTGTTTAACCCCTAGCAGGCATTCTTGCGACCTTCTGACAGTTATGGAGCTTCACTCATAAAAGTACAGGTGCGCTACCGACTGAGCTACTCCAGGCCTGATCTGTCTCTTTTTTATAAGACGGTCTTAAGCCCCTGTCTATTAATCGTTTGAAATACTAGCCACACCTTTTACAGTATATTCCATTTGCCAGTCTTGATAAATTAAAAATTTAAGTGGCATTGAAACCTGCCATCTACCAATAATTCCTTTAGTAAAATATTCCTTATAAAGTTTCAAATAAATTGACATTCTTTTTTCTTCAGAATAAATTAATTCTCGTTCAAAAATGAATAATTTTAAGGAAATCATTCGAGCATATCCAAAAAGGTGTTCGAAATGTTCTTCTAATTTAGTAGGTCTATGGGCATTCCACGAGGAGTAATAACCACTAAAAACAAAATTTAAATTTATAATCGGGCCACACTATAAAATACTCCTGTGGGAAATGTAAACTATAACTAGGTTATCTTAAATGGGAGGCTTAACGGCTCTCACAACAAGACATCCGTGTCAAATGTCTTGGTGAGTATTCTACCGAGTGTCAAGTGTCCTTCCACCAATGAAAACACCTGACACGGATTTCTGTTGATATTCACAACTCGATTTCCCATTCTAGATCGGTCCCGGCAGGTGACACTGCCTTAAACCCTGAATGTAAGAGCATATATGTATCCACTCTTGGAGAATTTAAATATGCTTTTTAATGCATTTAATTTTTTTCCTTTCCTTTCATACAAACAAAAAATATTTAAATATATATTTAATATACCCAAGTCTTTCCAAAAAATTTTCTCTTTTAAGAATTAAATAATTATAAAAAACAATAAAATTAGCTTCTTGTAATCCTTCTCTGTTTTTCTCAACAAATTCCTCGGCAAATTCGTTTAAATCACAACTTTTTATTTCCCTTACTTTATAATTAACATTCTCATCTTTTATCAAAAGATCGACAAGTGTTCTTCGCATATTAATTAATTTGCAAAGACCTCTCTTTGGATTTATATATAAATAGAAATCTTTATCCTTAAGCCTTAAAAGAGGTTAACATTAAAGGAAAAACACAAATTACAAAAAAACACAAATACAAAGACCGAAAAAACACAAATACAGAAACACATAAATAGAAACACCAAAAAACACAAAAAAACACAAACACAGAAACACAAAAATAGAAACACAAAAAAACACAAATACAGAAACACATAAATAGAAACACAAAAAAACACAAAAATAGAAACATAAACACAGAAACACCAAAAAACACAAACACACAAAAACATTTACACAAAACACCAAAAAACACAAAAACACAGACACAAAAAAAAAATGCAAAAACACGAAAATCGAAAACACAAAGCTAAGAAAACACAAAGGCAAAATACAAAAACACACAAACAAACAAGTAAGGTACTAGAATAATAACAACCTCATTCTCTCGAGGGTCTTTTTACAATGCTTCATCGATGAATATAACAAATGAAATTGAGAAATGAGAGTAATTTGTTCTAAAATTTTCCCAGCTTTGTGATTATAATTTATATCAAAAAGGCTTCTTTCCTCAAATAACTCATCAAAATGATATTCCAATAAATTTAGTGTTAATGTTAAATTGTGAGGAGAAAATAAAAAAGATTGCTCATTTATATATCTCGTAGTGGCTTAAATTAAAAATTAAATTTAAAACTTAAAGGCATGTTTGGGCGCAGAGGGGTTTGGGCGTGCACTTCCATAAAACCGTTTAAAATCAAGTTAAAAACTTGAAATTTTGCATAATTAGCCTTTAAAGGGATATCTAATTTCCCCGAAAATTTCAAAATTTTTGGTCATGTATTTTTCGAGTTATGGTTGCTAATGTTCAACAGGTATTATTGGGGGAGATAAAATTATCTGCTGTCTTTCCAGGCCAAATTTAAAAAAAAATAATTTAAAAAATAATTTTTACAATTTATAATTCCAGAGTTTACATAGTCAACATTTTGACAAAAAATTAAAAGAAAAAATAAAAACATTTTTATAAACTCTAAATTTAATTTAAAAAATAATTATTTGGTGACGTTAAAAATAGAGGGAAGAAATATTTTATTTTATTAAAAAAATTTTTTTCTCCCACAATTTTAGAAGGCAAAAAATTTGGTTCTACTTGACTTTATGAGTCCAAATAAAACTTTATGAGTCCAATCAAGATTTATGAGTCCAAACAAAACTTTATGAGTCCAATCAAAATTTATGAGTCCAAACAAAAGTTTATGAGCCAAACAAATTTTATAAATCCGACATGTCTTATTATTCTAAGTAAAAATTGTGGCTCTACTACAGTTTATGATTCCAATCATATTTTATGAGTCCAATCAGATTTTTGTGAGCTACGGAGTTAGGTCGTCAGATCATGGCTGAAAATGCAAAAGGGGTAGGTTTATGTTACTGTTGTAGAACCCAGCGGCCGTTGACTCCCGCGAAGCGCGTGCCGCAAAACCCCGCGCGAAGCGCGGGGTTTTGCACAAGCGCCTCGCCTACGCTCCATAGGGTTAGCAACATAAATCTATTCTTTTTTTACGTATTATTTAATAAATTTATTATTTAATAAAATTTAATAAAATGTGTTTGGACTCATAAATTTTGATTGGACTCATAAAGTTTTGTTTGGACTCATAAACTTTGATTGGACTCATAATGTTCGATTGGACTCATAAAATTCGATTGGACTCATAAAGTTCAATTGGACTCATAAAGTCAAGTAGAACCAAAAATTTTTTAAAAATAATAGAAAAACAACAAAAATTAATAAATTTAACAACTATAGTTTTTTAATTTAAAAAAAATTTATTCTTATTAAAAATTAAAAATCATCCCTGGCAATAAAGACAATTAAAAAATTAAAGAAAAAGAATTGAATAATGAGAGGAAATTAAAAATCCCTTCTCCCCTCCCCTCCTCTCCCTTCCCTCCCCTCCCTTCCCTCCTCTTTCCTTATCCTTAAAATCAATTTATCTATTGTCGTGGATTTGGGCATGTTAATTCGCCTGTATTAACACTCTTTCACTTGGTGACAAAATGGCAATTTCCATACTTGTTGGCATTATGTCGTATTTTCTTCTTTGTGGCAAATTGTCTATTTTTTCACAGATTGGCGAAATGTATGTAGTTATTTTGTTTTTCTGTCAATAGTAAAATCTCTCTCTTCACTAACTTTCTCTGTTAGTCTGTAAACTTGTCTGTCTCTCTTATTTTTTGTGAACACTAAAATTGTGTGTCTATAATTCCTTAAGGTGGGTACAGCCCAAGTAGGCGCGCGGTCATAACGGCGCAAAGCCATAACTTGCTTCAAGTTTTCCGAATCTTACCAAATTTGGTATTAAACGATTCCTCTCATTGAGCTAAAGAGAATGGTACCAAAATTATTATGGGCCAGAAATTTTCAAGCAAGTTATGGCTTTGCGCCGTTAAGGCCGCGCGCCTAGTTGGCTCCCTTAAGTAAATGACTAATAGATTTATTGGGGATTTTTGGGATTAATTTTTAACTTTTTTTTGGTGTTTTTTTGACTTTTTTTTATTTTCTAGTAATTTTAGTTGTCTCTAAACACTTTAATGGCCCAAACACAAGCAAAAGTTGAATTTGACTTTGACGCCCAGCCAGCAAGTGGAGAACTTACAATTAAATCGGGAGAAATTGTGACTGTTCTGAAAGAGGTTTTTTTGTGTTTTAGGGGTTTTGAGGTGTTTATAGAGGGGTTAATAGGCTTCAAAAGACTTTAGAAGCCTCTCCCTTCAATTCCTCTCCAAATTTAATTTAAGGGAATAGATGGCGGTTGGATTGAAGTTCGCAACTCTAAAGGAAAAGTTGGTCTAGTTCCGGCAAGTTATGTGTCTAAAATGCTTATGTCCAAGGTTTCTTTTTTTATTTTTTATTTTTAAGTCTATAAGGATGATTTGAGGAATTTTTTCGGTCTTTTCGAGTAAATCGACCTAATTTTCTATCCCTTGCCCTTCCAATTTTCTAATTCTAAAGTTACTTAATCCCTTTTCTTGGGTTTGTTTTGGGTGCTGAACTTGAATTTGAACTCTATTTAGTCGTGGGTTATACAATTTGAAGGCTATTTTTATTTTTTATTCTAATTATAAACCTTTGGGATCAAATGTCATTTTTTAATAATTTTTCCTAAAATTTCTTTATTTTTGTCAATAATGACCAATTTTCTTTAAATTAAACGTATCCTTATCAATATTAGTCTAATAAAATCGAATTTAATGTAATATATCTATTTTTGATTGAATTAGTTTCGAATTTTTTTGAGACTATTTTTCAACCTTTTAATTATTTGTAAATATTTTTTCGACTAACTTGACCCAATTTTCGATTGATTTTATTCAATTTTTCTTTTTTCTTTTTTATTTTTAAAATTATTTTTGAGAATATCTATAATTTAAACAGAAAATTAATAAATTCCCATCCTTCTACTCCCCCTTTAATCTTTGGGATCAAATGTCATCTCTCTCATAAATTTCATTGTTATTTTTCATTATTTTTATTATTTTTTTGCTAATTTAATTTTAGACAAAATAAAGTTCAAATTTATGTTCAGCTGACCATGTTACCCTTAAAAATAGTTTAACTATTTCAAAAATTAAAATTTTGGAGTGGGACCAAATTTCACCTCTTTGTTTTTAAATTTAATTTTAACTGAAATTTCCTGGGGTTTTTAATTAAACTTGTATTTTTAATTTTTATAGTTAAAATTTTCATATAAATTAACAAAAAAAATTTTAAAAAAATCAAATTGTCAAAATTTGGACCAAATGTCATCTTTCCTTTTTTTCTGTAAAAATTGTTTAATTATTTTATTAAATTTTTTCAATCTTAAAAAATATCGTGACGAACTTTTTTTTATTTTATTTAAAAATTATTCCATCATTTTTGCTCTTTAAAAGGAAGTTGATAGCCTTTCTTTTTTTGTGTTGACATTTTTGGTTACTTTCTCCCTTGGGGAGGAGGAACTTCCTGTCCTTTACAAAACTTTGTCCATCTTTTCTTAATTTTTTTTTAAATTTTTTTTGGCACGATTTTTATTTTAAATTGTCATTGATTCTTTTTTTTTCTAAAGTTTTTTTTTATTGTTTCTTGAAAATTTAATAATTTTCAAGGAAAATTGATTTTTTTTTATTTTCTAATGGAATTGTCAGTTCTGAATATCAGGGATGGATCGGATCACCTTAGACCCTAAACTCTTATTTCTCAATCCATTCAAAAAGTTTTGGGTTAATGCCAGGGTGACCCTTTCCAAACCACTAAAATAGGGCGCAGCCACTCAAAAATGTGGCAAAAATAGGGCGAAAATGGCCAAAAATAGGGCAAAAAATAGGGCATTGTTTAAAACACTTCGAAAATAATTAAAATTATAATAAAATGCTTAATACCGCATATTTTTCACTATTTCGAACTAAATTAAGTAAATTTGGTTCAGAAATAATGAGATCATGCGCCTGGGTATAACTAAAATAAGAATTAATTTAATCGAGACAAATGACTTAAGTAATTTGACCTTCATTCTGTTTATTTCGTCAGTTTTCTCATTCTTAACAACAGAAAAACTAGAAGCACTAGAAAGTTGAGTCAATTGGAGGGATATAATGGGATTGGGAGAAATTATGAATGGATTTGGAAATTTCAAGGTGATTTAGGTATCCCTTCATATACCCTTACTCAAAATTATATTATATCCAGTTTTATCTTACATTTCCTTAATCATCCTATACATTATTAATCTCTCAAATCCACTGATCTCTCTTAATCAATGCAATTCCCTTGTTATCTAGTCAATTCCCCCATAATCCTAGTATATTCTCCAAAATCTTCTCTAATAAAAATCAGCCTATATTCCACTCGAGCCCTTCTTTATCTTATTTTTCAGCGCCGCAGGCCTTCGATTTCACACAAAGTCTTCAAAGATTCAACCTTTTTCAGAACCCCA